ATAAAATTAGGCACGAAAGAAGTTGAGATTGGGGTTTCAAAGGCCGACGAACCGATTTAGATATTAGTTTTAGTACAAATTTAGTGAAAAGAGAGTTAGTAAAGGAAGTTAGTGCGTTGGGGTATCGAAGAGTGGCTATGGCACGGATCGAACGACGACCGGTTTTGTTGAGAAGAAGAAATAAACGGGTGTTTTTAAGTATTGTGAACTGAATGTCGGAGTCGAAGTCGAAAATTACTGGCTCATTTTGTCTCAACAAGCGGTGGGTATCGTAGAAGATCCATTCGATTTTGCGCATCAATCGAGTAAGAGGGTAGGGTGGCTATCTATTCCTCTGTACTCGTTCTCGTGCCCCCCTCATGTTAACTAGTCTTTTTCATAATACATGTGATGCTCATCGTTAGACTGTTTTTTTTCTTCTCACTGTGTCGTTTGCGGGCCCTGTTTGTCACAACATCATGACTGTTGCCTCGCTCGCCCTGCTCATCTTATATGCGCCTCTGATCGACAGGCTGATTGTCGAGCCGAAGTGATGGCTCGTGTAGATAATTCGTGTGCTTGATCGGCCTAGAGGGAGGAGTACTTCTCTGAGTGCGTATCTCCTCATGCTCTAACAGGAGACTCGTTCTTAGCTAGCAAGTTTAAAAAAAAATATTCACGATTTGTGGGGTTTCATCTATCCTGTTTGTACAAGAATACGGTCGAAGAGTTCGACGTGTATACGAGTCAGTGGGTGGTAAGTGTACGCGTTGGGGAAAATCTGTCTGAAGGCTGTGCCAACTGACCACTACGTTTGCTGTGAAGGTTTTGAGTAAGACTAAGCCTGCCAAAATTCTAATGAGGTTGCCGGGGGTGAAAGCTAAGTTAAACTTAGGACTGACACTAGAAGTACTGGAAATTTTTCGGATTTTATTTTTTAGCGCAAATACGAGTTGAAGGAGGATGCGTACCAGGTATTTTTGATGGTCTGTGTGAGCGACTTTGCGTATACTAGGATGTTGTTGTTGTTGTGTACGATCCAGCTGGAAACATCCGACACTGTGCATTATTGTATAGGTTGTACCCTCTGAGCTACCCGCTAAGCATTATCGTTGCACACTGCAAATGCGCAGTGTTGCTGCACATCTAACTGAGTTGCGTTAGGCACTACCAGATATTGTTGGGTTTCGTTACACTGTACAAGGTATCGCTGCAACTGCACATAGCTTGTTGAGCACAATAATCCGGAGCAGCGAGAAGATAGCCAAGAGGTGACACACTTATATATTGTCCAATTTGCCTCTCTCCCTGTCGAATGGAAGGAACAAAAAGCGAACTACGAGAGTTCTCTATACCCATGTTGACTATCTTTTTCTAGTTTGACTTTTGTATGCATGTGTTCCCCTATGACTTTTGTTTTCTTTTCAAGATTCAATCAGACTGAAAGGAAGGAACATGTGTGAGAGTGAAGCCTAAATTTCTTGTTTATTTTGATTGAAAATAGATTAAGGGTTGAACTAGGGGAAGGTGGGAGGAAGGCAGTTTGCATGCGTTTGACCGGTTCAACCAAGGACTGGGCATTGTTTCTAAACTAAATGACCCAGAGTTATGTTTATTTGGTTGTTTTCTGAAGGACCAGACATTGTTTTTAAGCTGAATGACCTGGTTGCTGTGTTTATTTATGAGGGTTTCTCTGACTCATCTTTGAAACCAAGCATTGTTTTTAAGTGAATGGTTTTGTCCGTCTATTTTATTTGGGGTTTCTTAAGGGTTGAACTAGGGAAAGGTGGGAGGAAGGCAGTTTGCATGCCTTTGACCGGGTCAACCAAGGACTGGGCATTGTTTCTAAGCTGAATGACCTAGGGTTATGTTTATTTGGTTGTTTTTTGAAGGACCATACATTGTTTCTAAGCTGAATGACCTGGTTGGTGTGTTTATTTTTGAGGGTTTGTCTGACTCATCTTTGGGATCAAGCATTGTTTTTAAGTGAATGTTTTGATCCATCTGTTTTATTTGGGATTTTTTACTGAAGTTAGGCTAAGGGATTCAACTTCATACTTTGAATGGTTTGGGGATAGGTTGAACATTGTGTCGAAGCTAAATTTCTGAAGGAGGATTTTTTTGTCTAAGGCTAAGCATTGTTTGCTGAATGGTTTAGCCTGAAGCCACACACATAGGTATAAACTGAGTATAACAGAAAATATCTTATTTATATTTGCACATGAATTGACAGTTGGACATTGTTTCTCAGTTGAATGGTCCGGTGCTAAGCCATATCATTAAAAAGAGAAGGAAAAATCACAGAATATACGTGGACGTAATTTGGACAAGCTGAGCATTGTTTCTAAGTTGAATGACTCAGTCCCCTCCCCATCTTTTCTTTTCTTTTTTAGAACAAAGTCAGAAAATTATTAAACTTTTATATCAAGCAGTTCAGGGCGAGTACACATTGTTTCTAAGCTGAATGGTCTAATCATATGCCCAAGGAAGAGAAAAGTAGTTGTGCAACATATTCATATATATCTTAAGGCATGCTAGTTTCTAAGTTGAATGGTCTAACATCATGCCATATGTAAGTTGGGTATAAGGGATACATCATCTGAAGGTTTCACAAACTAATCTATGAGGATTTGACTTGGGGACCTGTTAGAGTACTTACCAATGTAGTTTGGCCTTGCACGTGAGAAATTGAGTTCACTACTTAGTCTGAGTTTGAGTTTGACATGTAGTTGCTTTAATTGCTCGCCACAAGCTGGAGCCATAGGCGTTAGTTCAATTACTGCATTTTCTGAGCCGAGTTTTTTATTTACTTACGTCAATTCTCACATTTTTCTGGGATCATTTGTTATACTTGGTCTTGTATAAATATTGATAAGCTATTTTCTCTACGAGAAGCGCTGCCGAAATTTCTAAAAAAACAAGGAGCTAAGGAAAATTTGACTTTTGAAAGTTCAACTTGTCTAAGTTTTGTACATGGCATAGTAAAAATCTGGAAAGCCTCATTTTCGAAAGGGAGTGCTACCCAAATTTTTATTAATCCAAGGAGTTAGACAAAATTTGAACCTGAAAAAGTCAAAGTTGTTTTAGATTTCTGAACTTAGCTTTGTATAAATCTTGGTAAGTAACTTTCTCTACGCGAAGCACTGCCGAAATTTTTAAAAATCTCAAGAGTTAGTAAAATTTTGTATTAGCTGAACTCAAAATCTTACTTTGAGTTCTTATCCGACTTAGTATAAATCTCGGAAACCTACTTATCTAAAGGAGATGCTGCCCAAATTTTTACTACTTCAAGGAGATAGACAAAATTTGACTTTCTGGAGTTTTTGACTTCAGGGAGTTAGACAAAATTATTTCAATTTTTGTTTACGAGCTAATATAAATTCAAAAAATGCACTTTTCATACGGAAAGCGCTGCCAAAATCTTCTTAGTTTAGAGGAGACGAATTATATTTTGACAAGTAGCGATACGGGCAATCCACTCTGTATGGGGGACATTCTGATAAAGGTCTACCTTTTCTTTGGAAACTGATTTATGGTAGACTTAGACATAATTGACACATAACTTTGAGTGAAAATGTGTTATGGAAGTTTATCTCACATACACTGATATTTAGCTTGGGGATTGACCTGTTTTTTAAAATTTGGACAGGGTTTCACATCTTGTCAGTCTGTTAATTGTTTGTTGTGTTTCTAGTAGCCCCTTACGTTGGTTTGGGCCTTCGAACCCGCGGTATCAGATAATTTCGACCCCAATTTATGAGAACCTACCAGAGTCTTCTGTAATACGGTAAATGGTGGAATTTCGAGATATCTCTGTCCCCGACGATCCGCAGGCCTTGCCGCGGACGGTCTAGGGAGACCCTAAGTGTGTTTTTCGTAGGAACTCCACAATGTTGATGCCTGACCACGGGTAGTATAAGTAGATTGTTGACGATACTCTCAACCTTCTGGGTTGGCCAACGGACGCTAGTCCGGCGGCGGGTTTGACAGAAAGGAGGCGGATCACTGGGTTGAAAGGTTTGATCGGATGTGGTCTACTTCTTCCTATTATCATCATCAATCTTGCCTACTGGCTTTTTTACTACTTAGTGATTGTGTGCATTACTTTGTGTGCATCTTCCCACATCCGCTGCATTACGCGTGTGAACTTACCCGGAGATCTACTTACTGGGCCGAGTGAGCACGTTAGAGCGTTCTATGTCTTTACCTTTTCACTTGTAGTATCTTCGGTGACTGACGTGTTCTTGTTGTCAGTCGCAGGGGGACTCTCCTTCCACGCAGGACGAGGGATTCGGCGTGGCACGATGTCTTCACAAGGGTATTATGACCGGAACGAGCGTGACAGGGAGCGCGGCGAGTGGGACCGCGGGAGAAGGGATCGTGACTCTCCTGACGAGCATGGAGAACGAAGACCGTACCGGCCTCCAACATGCTTTGCATGTAATGAAGTGGGACACTACGCCAATCAGTGTCCGAACAGGAGCAAACGCTACTCAAAAGCGAAACCAACAACTTCGTTTGACTCACGGCGAGCCAGGTCCCCTAGGAGGTACGAACCAAGGTCGCGCGAACCATCTCCCGCCTTGGATCCGCAAATCAGGAGCACTATCGAGAAGCTCGGCAAAAGTGTCGCTGTTATGGAGGAGCACTACGCCACGGAGCGTGAAAAACGAGAGCAGAAAGCATGTAAGAAGTTGGAGAAGGAAGAAGCTCAACGACATGAGGCAGAGGAAGCAGCTCATTTAGAGGAGGAACGCATCACCGCGGAAAAGAAGGCTAGGAAACGGAAGCAGAAATTGATACTGGAGGATCAATAGCGTGCGGAGATGCAGAAGGATCTACAGATCCAGCTTGCGATGCATGTAGGCAACTTGGAGGATCGCCTCATTCAACGACTAAATCAAGTTGTGGCGGGGCCATCAAAGTTGGACCGTGGCAAGAAGAAGGTGTCATACCGCTCGGATGTTGACGAGTCTGCCTCTAGCCAGGGAGATGCTAGTGATACGAGTGTTGCATAGGAGCTCGGCGCCTGTGTTGATCGCCTGAAGATTTCGGAGAAGCGGAAACGTGGCCCTGAGCCCGTATTTGAAGACCCGAGTCTGCCAATGGAGCTGCCCGCCAAGCGCACCCCGAAGCGGGGTATCTTGAAGCCAGTCAAGTTGACTGGACGATTGACTCGCTCGAAGTCCAAGAAAGGTGGAGGAGGACTCACCCCCACATCAACCTCTAAGAAGATCGCTACTCCTTTGTCCAAGCGGCGCACCCCGTCGAAGAAGAAGAATCCGAGCTTGACGCCGCTCTCGAAAGCTTCCCTAGAGCGCCTGCGATATCGGGACAACGTTCTTCGGGAGCTGAAGGACCTCGATACCACGAAGCTGCAACGGATTTGTCGAGAGGAGGACATCCATTATGATAAGAAGTTTGAAGCAATCTTTGATATCGCGGATCACCGAACCAAGCGAGCCTTTGCCAGTGCACTGGCCAGAGTCGAACTTGAACGGAACGCGATCTCCGACGATACGAACGCCGAGCAGGAGGATGCACCTGCCACCGATGTGTGAACGCGGTTATCTATACCGCAGCTCTGGAAGGTTTGCCGCTTTCTTTCTCATCCTTGGTGTGAGTCCACGAAAGTAGACAAACGCGTTGAGAAACTGCTCCGTCTTACCTTTCTTTTGCTTGCAGTCCAAAAACAGATACGTTGGGCTAATAAATTTGTTGACTGTTGGTTGAATCTGTATGACCGCCATGGTTTGAATTTCTTGGATCTTTCAGATTGCGTGTATGTCGGAATCTCTCCGTTTTGTAAATTGTTTTACATTGGGAAATCCTCACGGGATGTGGACACACGATGGCGCGAGCATATATATGCCTGTTCTAATCGTAAACCCTCGCACTTTCACCGTTGGTTAGGTAATTTCGGTTCAGGTAATTACCTACTGATTCCCGTCGACATCCTAGTGGGGAACGAGTTGGAGAAGTTGGAGCGCACGTATATTAAACTCTGGTCCCCATTCCTTAACACTAGCGGGTGCGCAAAAACGGGCACTAAGCTTAGTCGTAGTAAGGTTGGTAAGCACGAGCGTGCACGATGAAGAAGGACTACCAACTCCAACTGTGACTCTTGGATACCTATCCGTTYCCKCATAACTACCGCTTCTGAATGRATGGTTGATTTSTTCGCCYTCTTTGATAATATTCTACTATCAGGTAATACCACAGTCGACTTTTGTATCCAGCCAGGTAATATCTGGCAGCCCARYTGGGGTAAGCTTGTCAAAGCTTTTGGTGGTACTAAGATTATACATGCTTCTGGAACCTTCTGTTTGAGGGATTGTAAATCGCTGTTGCAATCGGGAGGTAGTTTTTTCGGTTCTACATGTCTGCAAATGGTCAACGCGTTGTGGTTATCTAAAAAAGATCTTAATCAGTATCCTCCGAAATCCTCGACAGATCTCTGTATTGCGTAACTGGGGCATGCGATCCTATTTACACATATACCGAGTGATCAAGGATTTTTCAAAGAAATCGACTCGCAAGTATCTTCGTAGACTTTTGTCACGCTGCTTTCGGGATCACTTCGGCCTGAGTCTTAATGTTGATTTGGTTTTTCGTATTCATTTTGATGACCGTATTATCATTTCTGAACTATGTAAAGCGGTTAACGACGCTATCATGTTACAAAACTTGCCGAAGTGTTTTTTTTGTACCGAGCACGGAGGAAGGTTCGGATAGTTGGGACAAAAAACCCATCTATAGCCGATTTATTGCACAACATGCGTAATCTCTCGACACGCAGTGTGCTGACTTGCACTTGCGCAGGTCTTGACCTCCCACGCTCGGGAAATCATGTCTTGTTTCGGCTAAGTGACCTCAACGGGATTCACCTCCTGTTGAGCAACGCTAACAACGTGCCTTGTGCAGGTATTGACGATCGCGTATCCTCCTTTCATGAGGAACTGCTTTCTGGTTTTGCCAATTGGTATAACCGCGTCGATGATCCGCCTTACTTCAGTAATGAAGTACTGTCAGTCTGTTTTTCCTCTGCGTCTAGCAATAAGCATTGCCTTTCTTGCACAAAGTGCTTGAGATCAAGCACCGCTTTGAGGGATTGGTTTTTACTGCTGTGGATCGTAATGCTGGTGAAACAGTGGTTATGTGTCCTCTGATCTATTACCAAGCGTTGATGGATACCTATGTACTGAATCCTGGATATCGTATCATGGATTGCCAGGAGAGCCTTGTGCTCCGGAAATTTTGAGAGGATGTGACTTCGGCAGGCTTGAAATCCTTTGTTAGGTGGAACACTCAGGGGAAGTTTAGGGCAACTTACATCTTGCCCAAACACAAAGATTTGAATCGCTACCGTCCTATTTGCCCCTCTTTCAACGAGCCAACGACTCGTACGGGACGTGTCGTTTCTAAGGCCCTGAACTACTTGCTTAGCACAATTCCGAAGCACTGGCACTTTAACCTGTCAGCTGTGTCGGACTTGACAGCGAAGCTAGGCTCAGCGAATGCGAAGTTTCTCCGTCTTGGAGGGAACCGTGTTATTCGATCGTATTCCTTCGATATCAAGGATATGTTCACGAAACTTCCTCACGCTGATATCCGCCGAGCTGTTGACTAGCTCATACAGTACCATCTGGACAGAGGCCACGTATTCGTCAGGGTCAATACGATGGGAAAAGGGGCGAGTTTCAGACTGACTACGGGAGGGGACCATTGGAGAAAACTTACCCTTAACGATATCCGTGCCTTCACATTCCTTGAGCTGAATCACACCTATTTCCATGCTACGGGTGTTTTGTTGAAGCAGGAGGTGGGAATACCCATGGGAAAAAGTACCAGCCCTCCCCTAGCATGCATCTTATGTGCTTTTTCTTAGTACAACTTTATCTGTGGTATTGGTAAGGCCGCTCGTTGCCTTTTTGCTATGCGCCTAATGGATGACATCTTGTTGGTTACGTCCACTCGCAAGGGAGATGATGCACTATTTGAAGCTTTTCGGACCTGCTATCCGAGTGATCTATAGCTCAAAAGAACGGATGATGGTACTGGGAATCATAATTTTCTTGGTTGCCAAGTGCACGTCACACAATCCTTTCCGTATATGGCCAGTGTTCAGATTTCAAGGAATGAGGCACGACTGTTGGAATCGGACCGCCTGGAATTTTTGAATGGCCAAATCCTATTTCTCCTGGGGCTGTAAGCGACAAGTGCCATCAGCGGATACCTCCACATGGTTGATCAGAACACCTTCATTCGTCTGGCAATACCAGACACAGTACGCGCCTTGCGACGCGAGATCTCTTTGAAGGACTTTCCTGACGCATTCTTCAAGCAGGTTCTCAAGCGTTTTGCTTTTCGACGAGATGACATATGGAAGCAAACTGTCAAATTGCTGTATTGATGTAGGATACGATTGAATTAGAATAGTCCTGCTCACGAGGGTTCTTTTTTTCTGTTTTAATTTGACTTTGTGTGGACAAGGAATCCGCTAGGATCAGTCGCTTTTTTGAAGTCTCTCCTCCGGACACCCTCGATTGAGTTTTGCTTTTTAATAGGGAGTTTTTGGGCTTGTGTGTGTCTTGCTTGGTTTTTTTAAATTTAGACAGGGCTTCACATCTTGTCAGTCTGTTAATTGTTTGTTGTGTTTCTAGTAGCCCCTTCGGTTGGTTTGGGCCTTCGAACCCGCGGTATCAGATAATTTCGACCCCAATTTGTGGGAGTCTACCAGAGCCTTCTGCAATACGGTGACCGGTGGAATTTCGAGATATCTCTGTCCCCACGATCCGCAGGCCTTGCCGCGGACGGTCTAGGGAGACCCTAAGTGTGTTTTTCGTAGGAACTTCGCGATGTTGATGCCTGACCACATGTTGACGATACTCTCAACCTTCTGGGTTGGCTAACGGACGCTAGTCCAGCGGCAGGTTTGACGAAAAGGAGGCGGATCATTGGGTTGGAAGGTTTGATCGGATGTGGTCTACTTCTTCCTATTATCATTATCAATCTTGCCTACTGTTTCTTTTACTACTCAGTGATTGTGTGCATTACTTTGTGTGCATCTTCCCACATCCGCTGTTTTGTGATACTGGTCCTATTGATCGATTCGATTCAAAATATGAACTAGGTTCAGCTTGATCCCATGAGGATAATCATCTGTTATCAGTGATAACAAGTCGATTCTCGATTCGTCGGTTTACGATTCAACTCCAATCCACTCTCATTACCCAACCTAAAGGCTTTAAGTCTTTAACCTTGGTGATTTTATTTATCTTACTAAGATTTTCACCCGATCTTTTATTGAATGATCATTTAATGAAGCTACTGAGTACTTATTTTGGAAGGTTGGACAAAGGTTGAGACTTACATGTCTAAAGCAAGAGGCATGAATATAAAAAATGGTTTAAGTTAACCCCGTGTAGTGCGTGAATTTTTATTGAATCTTTGATGTGATTGCATATATGTTTGTGGTTTAGACTTAGAATTTGACTGCGTGCGATCACATATATATATGGCTGAGAAAAGTCTCATTATGATCGTGAGAAGTGATCGGCACATACGTATATCCTCCTATATATCGTCAAATGGAACTGCCCGGGAAACCGTAGGCAGAGAGGGAGAAGAGGACAACAAACGAGGGGCTGTGACAAACTGTTTCGTCGGAGTTTCACCGACTCATCAGGAGTATATATATATATATATACACGTACATGCAAATTGAGTGTCCGCTCAACCTATTGTGATTATGAGCAAGGGTTAAACGAACTATAAGTTCAAAGAAAAGGGAGATCCCCTTTTATTTTATGTTTTTTTTAATATTTATAGTTAGACGTTGTAATCCGTGGCAGTTGTTAAAGTCAAACCCCTTGAGTTCTCTCCAAGCTCTAGATAATGGAGCTGGTCTCCAGGGCAATAAGAGCTGCTTGCCACCACAGGTATGAACCTAGGTATCACCCACTCTCCGCAGGGTGCAGAAGAGGGTGTAGTTTTCAACCGCACTTGGCGATTGTCCTGCGTCGAGAGACTAAACCCTCAAGGTGCGTGTTAGCCGACACTTGAGTGTCGAACGCGACCCTCGAGATTATCGAGGACCCCGTGATTAATGGTACTACATAGTACGTCATTGTTGCGACCACTTCCGTAAGCATACATAATACGTCATTGTTTCGACCGCTTCCGTAAGCATACATTGCTAGTCGATATGAGAAGATCCTGCGTTCGCGCAACTTTATACTAAGTCTCGCGCATGACGTCTATCCGATTTCCGCATTGAAAGATTACGGGTTGATTACAAAAGAGACCAAGAGTGTTTTTGTGTTGTTTTGTTTTGTGTCGTTCCGTGTAACCCGGTTTTTTATTGAATGACAATTTAATTAAGGTATTGCGTATTTATTTTAAAAGGTTGAACAAAGGCTGCGACTTGCATGGCTTAAAGCAAGGTGTATGAGTTATTGTATAAAGAATGATTTAAGTTGACCCCGTGTAGTGCATGAACTTTTGTTGAATCTTTTATATGATTGCATGTATGTTTGTGGTTCGGACTTTGAATTAGACTATCTGCGATCACATACATATATGCCTAAGAGGGGTCTCACTGTGATACTAAGAAATGATCATGACATACGTATATCGTTATATATATACATACATGCAAATTGAATGTCCGCTCAACCTATTGTGACTTTGAGCAAGGGTTAAACAGATCATAAATTGAGAGAAAAA